GCCTCTCGGCCTCGTGCTCCTCCGGACCCTGCCGCTCGGCACGGTGCCTTCCCTTTTGAGCGTGGCGTGGACGGCACGGGCTGCATTATTGATAACTCTGTGACTTATTTATGCCTCCTTGGCTATGCCAATCCGCTCGACCTTGCTGGGCTAAATATAGTTTGCACTGGAAGCGCATCCCTGTCCTGTGCGGGGTGGAGGCGGCCGGCGGCACATCTGCTTTGGTCCAGCTGAGAGATTCAGGGATGTCTCCTGGTTACTTTTTCATTGAGGATGTGTTTTAAGGCAGCATCAATATTTACGTGCTGGGCTGTGACGTCTCCGGGCTGTTGGGTGAAAATCCAACCCGAGGAAGCTGAGCAGATCCCGCCGACAGCCCTGCTGGAGGTTGCCTAAATGTGGCCTTACATGGGAGAGTCAGTGAGGTCTTGTCGCATCAGCTCCTGCCCACTTCATGGAGCGGTGGTTTCCTTGCACGTGCCGCCGTCTCGGGTTCGTTCTGGTGGTGCGGGGGCTCGTCGGGGGGCTCGGGGCTGCCTCGGCCCGGGGCAGTGGTGTGGGTCTGCACAGCCCCCCGGCTGTAGCCTGAGTGAGGGCTGTGCTGGGGCAGGATCAGTCCCATGTCACCTGGCGGGCAGGGATGGAGCCAGGACAGACAGCGGGATGCCTGCGTCTCCGTGCCCTCCCCAGCCACGCTTCAGTCTGCTCCTGGCCAAGCCGACTATCCTACAGTGTTAACAAGGAGTATTTTCTTACCTCTAAATTATTTTCTAGCATAAAATATGTGGGTTTTGTCAACATACCTTTCTCTCTTTTCTGGGCAAACGTCAATGTTTTTGGTGACATTTTCTGACTTTTTAAATTTTATTTCTTTTCCCTCCCAGCTGGGAGAATTAAAAGGGAAAATATCATTTTAAATCAGCATTTTGGAGTGAAACATTTTCATTTTTAAATGTCAGTTTAAAACAGAACAATTCATTTTGAAATGCTTCAAAACAAGAAATGCCCTTTTACCACCTCAAATCACTTTGTTTTGATTAAAAATGTCAGCGTTTTCTGCTCTGGCACTTCGTTGTATGAGTCTGTTTCACTGTCTCAGCCTGGTCCAGAGCAGATAGAAATTTAGAAGGTGGTTGAAAACTAAAGATTTCTTCTCGCAGCAGCCTGGGTTTGTCCGGTGCCCACTGGCATCCCGCGCTGGCCCCGGTGGGCATGGGCAGCAGGGGCCAGTGTAGCAAAGCTCACCAGGGAGGGGACCACGGGCACGAGTCTCGCCTGGGGCAGGGGCAGCCCAGGCACCCACCAGTGGGTGCTGGCAGCGCTCTGAGCCTTGGCATCGTCTTCACGGGCTCTTGTTAATAAATCATGATCCGGCACTGGAGTTTTACGGGGAGCACGGTGATTTTCCCTGGACCTGGTGAGATCCCAGCAGGTGATGATGGAGACCGGGAGGTCGTTGCTTCACCTGGCAGATGCCAAGCAGAGACGTTGCTGTCAAAGCTGTTTGTGTCCTGCTGCGGCGGCAGAGCCCCAGGGCCGCTTCCTCCCATGCGGCTGATAAGCGGTGCAGGAACGTGCTTAAAGCAGTCGACAGTCTTCGGGGATTAAATTTTTTCCATAAGGGCTCCAGATGATGTAAAGCTTGGCTGCTTCCCGGCACGTCCTGCGTGGCGTGGGAGGAGGTGGCGGCGCGGTGCTGGTGGGTGGCAGCGGTGGTCCGTGGCCCTGGGGAGCGCAGGGGTGTTCCGGGGGGACCAGGCGTGCTCAGAGGTGGCAGATGCAGTTTTGTGTTGTGACTTTATGAACTTTGCAGATGTATCGAGAGGAGCAGCAGCCCCAGAACAAGGCATCACCCTGGGACAGCAGGTGTGGGTCCTGGCGCTGCCGCGGGCTCTGCGTGTGTCCGCCCAGGCATCGGCTGCCCCGTTCCTTGGTGCCCCGTGCAGCCCCAGCCCTGTGGGGCGGGGGGGTGGCTGGGCCCTGGGGCAGCTGGTTCCATCTGTTGGTGAGTGGTTTGCAAAGTGCCCGGCCTGGGAGAGCCAAACCTTGGGCATTGCTGCAAGGGACCTCGGCCACGCGGGAATAACTGCGGGGCCAGCCGAGCCCGGGGTGTCCCCAGCCGCTCCCAGGGGATGCAGCGGTCCGTGCCCCTC